ACCTATGTCTAAAGTTACAATTTTTTGACAGTTGTCTCGGAATTTTTTTAAAAATCTTTATGTATCAGAAGATTGTGTGATCTAATAAAATCCTTGTTAATTCAAACATTCTATAAAACACGCACGACATGACGCATGGTGCTTAAACTTTTGATATAAGTTTATTCCGACATTTGTGGAGCTTCGGTATACGTTTTGAGAAAAATTCAGGTACTAATTATTTAAAGTCTTCTCCGCATATCTGTTTCTGAAGTATTTATTTAGGAAATTCGCTCCAAAATTCGAAATTTCTGAGCGGCAGCGCCGAAACACTCATTTAGTGTATTTTTTGTTCCTTAAAATAAAAGGAATTTACTACTGATTGTAGTAATGTTCTTTTTCCGAAAAAAAACTGTTAACAACCAAAATCACGTCACGGACTCAAATCAAGTATTTTTGCTCTCTCATAGCTCGATGTACCGTTTTTTGCGTCTAATTTTACAGTTTTTTACAATATTTTTTGTAACTGTTCCTAACAGTTGCTTTCGGTTCAGAACTAGTTTGTCTCACTGTTGCTTTACAATATGTTGGTTTACAATATTTTCAGTTATTTTTTTTATACATTGCATTTTTACTTTACTGTTTTAAACATTGAATTTGTTAGTGCATTAAACACTATAATTTTTCTTGTTGGTAAATTATTTCCAATTTTATTTGTTTATATTTCTTTATCATGAGTTAAAATTTTTCAATTTGGTTTTTAAGATTTGTTGTTGTTAACAGTAAGTTGCTGTTGTTGTTACATAATTTTTTGCTTGCTTTTTCTTTGTTTTTTTTTGTCTTTAAACTCTGTAAATTTAATTTTTTTACAATTTTCTGTACGTATGTATGTATGTCTGTATGTATATCAATGAAACTACTATTTAGCGGTAATTCGATGTTCTCGGTTCTGTGCTTTGGTGCACACTTTGTGTTTGTTGCTTTGTTATTTTTTAGTTGTTTTTAAATATTATTTTTAAATTTCTTTCTAGCTGCAGCTTTTTTGTGGTATTTTTTTAATTTTATTTCTGCATTTCTTTAGATTTCTGTGTATATTTTGTTGCAGGCAAGTTTTTTTTTATTTTACGCTCATTTCCATTTCTATACGCTTCTTGTATGTTTGTATGTTGCTTTAGTTTGAAAAAAAAAAATATTGCAACAATTTTTAATTAGCATTAAAATAATTATTATATGCTTGTAAAAAATTGTTTTATATAATTAAAAAAAAAAATTCCAAAATAATATTTTTGCATGTATTTTTGTTTTATAATTTTTTGTAATTATTTGCTATTAACTAATTTCAGTTATTATGTTGTTTTTGTTGTTGTATGCATGTATGTAAGTATGTTTGCTTGTGGTAATAATAAATATTTTGCTATTTCTCTATTTAATTATTTGTTTGCTAGTTTGCTATTTTGCTTCCTTGTAAAATCACAGTTATTTGCTGTTGTTGTATGCATTCTATTTTTTTTCTTGCTTTATAATTGTTTATACTTGTTATTGCATTTTGTTAAGACATTTGTATAATTAGACGTAAGTGTTGCATTTACAAATTAACTAATTAAATATTGTAAATATTTTTTTTATTAGTTTTTCTTAAAAAAAATTATTTAAAATAATCAATATAATATAGAAAAAACACTGTATTTTACGGTGGTGGTGGTATTTTAATGCGATTAAACTATTTTATTGTTTTTGTTTTAAAAATATTTTTTCAGCTAAAAAATTTAGTTTAAAATTTTTTTTTGATATTTTTATGCAAATAAATATGTTTGTTGCTCTTGTTTATAACATTTTTTTTTGAAAAATATTTTTTGACAAAAAATTATGTTTTAAATTTAAAAAAAAACAATAACAGGAAAATATTTTTAAATTATAATAAAATATTAAAAATTTTGGTTTAAAAATAGTTTTTTCTCAAAAAAATTATAATAAAATATTTAAAATTTTTGTTTAAAATAACTATTTTTTCTCCAAAAAAATTTTTTTTCCTGTTATTGTTTTTTTTTTAATTTTAAAAATAATTTTTTTTTAGTTATTATTCAAAAATAATTAAATATTTTCCTGTTATTGTGTTTTTATTTGCATAGAAATAAATAAATTCTATTGTTTCACGTTCGCTCTCTTTGTATGTATGCATGTATGTATGGTATCTATGTAATTATATAAGTATATTAATATTAATAAAAATTATGCTTTGCTATTGCTATTTATTTTTTGTTGCTATTTTGAGTTGCATTGGTTTTCTGTATATATTTATATGTTATATTATTTATGTATGTTTGTATATATTTATGTAATAAAAAAATTACTATTGCAATAATTGTAATTGTAAATATATGTATATAAAAAATCTTGTACAGTTGCCTCTTTACTTTTTTCTTGTTTTTTCATAAACAATTTGCTTAAAAAAATATCTATGTTTGTATGTATGCGTGTAAATGAACAAAAAATTTAACTATTTTCATTTAAATTCAGGTTATTTCTGCATGCTTCGCTATGCAATTTGTATATATGTAAGTATGTATGTAATTTGCTATCGTTGTTGTTGTTGTTTTGAACACAAGAAATGTAATTTTTGCTAAAAACAAAAACCAACAAAAAATACTCTGTAAAAATTTTTCTATTTGCTATTATTGTGAATGGTTGAACAAAACAATATCCATCATGTAATACTTATGTAATCTGTTGTCTTGTTGCATTTGTTTTTGCTTTTACTATTTAACAGTAACTGCTTTTTGATTGTGCTATTAGTTGGGTTTTTTCTTTTATTTTACATAATATTTTAACTTTTGATTGTTTGTATGTAATTTGTTGAAACCAAATCTCTTTGCTTGTTTGTTTGTTTGTTTTGTTGGGTTCTCTCTATGTTCTCACACAATACGTAAGTTCTTTTTTAATATTTTACAAGAAATATTAGAATTTTAATTATGCTAAGTTCTTGCATTACCTTCTGTTTTTGGTTGTTTGGTTTTGTTATATGTTTTGCATCTGTGAATTTTCTCTGCAGATTTGCCTCATTGTTCCGACGACTTTTCTAGCTCTCACACTAACCACTATTTGTTGTGATGTTTTTTACTATTTCTTAGGGAATAAGAATTATATTACTTAAAAAATAAAATATATTTCATAGAGGAAAAACAAATGTATTACGTAGAGAATAAAAATATTTTTTAGAAAAAGAAAATATCTTTCATTTAAACCTAATTAAAGGAGACCTAAACATATTGTATACATATGTAAATAATAATATGTATTTGAATAAAAAAAAACCTCTGTTTGGCTTAGTAACGTCTCTTTGCCTCCATATTCACACACGGCGCTCACTTGCGTCCGCTCTCTTTTCCTCAATGCCTTCTAAATAATTGCTTCCTTTGAGAAATCGTCAGCACCAAAATGTTTTTGTATTTGTAATATTCTATATTTAAAGTTTAAACTGTTGCCGTTGCTTTTTGAAATAAACTTTCACTGAAAGAGAGGTTCTTACCAATGATCGCAATGATATTGATGAGAGATCTATAAACGATCGTTTGCAAGTTATTTTATAGTTAAGTGCTCAAACAGTTAGCAGAATGAACACAAAAGGTGGTGAACTGTTTATTCAAAGTTTTAAAATGAACTCATGATGTCTTCCGAAAAGTGGTCGTGACATTGATCTAAGGTCTATATTTACTCAAATTTGATTTTAGTTATGCGAGTACTTGAAAGTCTTACAGAATTACTAGATGTTTTAGTTTTTTAAAGTTTACCGTTATATTTGCATATGAGCATAACCAGTAAAACCTTAAATTTCTTACCAAAACTCAACTAATACAAAGCGTTTGTTTTGTTCTCCGAAATTTCTATATTTTAATGATAATTTCACGCTTAGATTTTTAATTTCTCTACAATAAGAACGCTTTCCGGTCTTCAAATCAGGAATAGGAGGTCGAAAATATTTATTAAGAGCTCCTATTAGTTACAATAAACCATTTATCAGCTGTAAGATAAGGTCTCAAGGTTCTTACGTTAATTCAAAGGCAGCTAGCTGTTGTAGCCTTTTCAAACTAACGAACCACGAATCTAGTTGGAAAATATGTTAAAAGGTTTACCATTCTTTAGAGCAAGAAAACAACATGCAACATGACGCGACCCAATACTGTTAAACTACTGTCTTAAAATGTACAAGTTCCTGTTGTCAAAACCATTAATTTTATGACTTGAGCGCGTTTGGTAGCTTTTAGAGACCTTATCGTACAATTGTGATTAAGCTATGGATCGAAATTGAATTACATATACGAGTAAATCTACTAGAAGAACCTTGCCTTAAATTTTTAATTAATATATATAATATATAGAAACAATTTTTAAAATAATGAAAGAAATTTTTTGGCAGTGATTACATTTGAGAGCAAGCGTGCCAAGTCACATAAATATGTGAAAAATATTTTTTACCTTCATACATTTTCAAAATTCCTTTAAACGTAAGAAAAAATACTCCATAAATATTCAAGCCATGGCAGGTATGTATTTTCTTCGAATAATTCAGTAATCCTCCTCTCTTTCAATGTTGTCAATCAAATACTAAGTTTTGAAACGAAAAGACTTTTTAAATCTTACAAAAATAACTCATTAAGAAAAGTTAAACTTGACACTTAGGGTGTAATTAAGACACTTAATTAATTATTAAAACTAACTTCTATAAAAAAAATATTTTTTTAACTTTCGTACGTAATAGCTAATACCCGCGTTTGTGCTGCACTTAGATGATAATCCGCTTGGCAGCACTTTCACCTTTTAAAACCATTTTCAACCTGAAATTATTTTCTAAAATTAAAATTGCAAACACCTCATATAGAGAGTTCTCTCTCCAATAGAAAAAATGTTAGTTAAAACGTGAATTCAAGAACCTAACTTCTTACACAATTCTTTATAATCACGATCAATAAAGCTTAGTTAGCTGAGTTCCAATTACAAATATATGTATGTTTACTTAAAAAAAATAACTCTTCTCACGTCTTGTTATATTTGTTGTTAACGGCAATCCAGTGCCTCATATTTACATGCAAATTTCTGCGAACACTTTTCTAATTATCGATAATTTATCGAATATATTTATCGACCGTTTATCGATTATATTTATCGATAATTTGTATAATCGATAATTTATCCTGTGTTTCTTATATTATAACCTTTCATAACTATTTTTTACTGTTTTTAATGTTGAACATTGTTGTTGTTGTTTTCCACATTTCTCGCCTCATTCTGCATTGAACCGTTCTCCGCCGTCGTCGCATTGGCCGCCAAGAAGCAACACCACCAGCGCCACCAACAACGCTCCGACCAAAGTTCCGTCGTCGGCTGTTCATTCTATTATCTGCGAAGGAGTCGTTGTCTCCTTCGCACCTCATCTCAGCGTGGTGCATTGTGTATGTGTGTGGTTAGATGTTTCGATAGGTAGTCGGCGCGTGCAAAACACTTGCCACACGATTCGCAGTGATACGGCCGTTCGCCGGTGTGTATGCGCAGATGGCGTGTAAGGTCCGATTTTCCGCCGAAAGCGCGTCCACAGAAGAGGCACACGAATGGTCGTTCGCCGGTATGTTTGCGTACGTGCAACTTTAGATTCTCCTTGGAGCGTACACACTTGCCGCAGAAGGGGCAGGCGAAACGTGAGGTTTGTGGGCTGTAAATTGAGGATCCAAGATAAATATATCATATACATACATTAAGTACCGGTAAATAATACAGAAAGCTGAACTATATACAGTGATGAAATTATCTCTATGCGACCCCGATATATCTTAAGGTATGATTAATTCGCTGTGTATTTAGACACATAAGATCTAGCTCTAAATGAATGGTTTCGTTCTAAGGGGTATCAAAAGTCCAAAGGCTACTCAGATCTAAAGAAAAAACCTTTTAAAACCAGATATGCAAATTGTTGGGACTAGGCTTTGCGATGGAGTAAGGTGGCTTGCTAATGACCTACTAGCCCAGCCAGGGATTGTTAACCATTTTATATAGAAATCAGTGGACACGAGCGATTCAAGTTGTATTGTCGAATTCTCTCCCGAATTTGTAAGAAGGCAACTTGCCGAGAACTCATATGTGTGATATCACCATAGTTCAGCATTTTACTATCAGTGGATGAAAATATGTTATGGCTCGGCTGGTATTATTGGTCTAAAAAGTTTCTGCTGGTCCCTTTTGGGCCGGCGCATACGTTTGATCAGCATTTCGGCAGAGAAGACAGAGATTAAAATTCGAAAATTGTGGATGCAGACTACACTTGCCTGGAAAAAGTTATACCAGAAAGGTCTGGTTTTCTCCTGACTTTAAGAATACTCACTGCACTGTACATCTATAGACTTGTGGTGTTAAAATATAAAGACATTACTTGACTACTATTTCTATAGGTTGGGGATCCGGCTTCTTAAAACCGTTTTGTGAATCTCAGAGTACATAGCGGTGGAATTCATTTACTCACCGTTTGTCCCGTTGCCGTTCGGCTGCGTCTACACGCAAGAAATTGAGTATTGAAGCCTCTTGCGGATTAAGGCCCAGGAATTGTTCGTTCGGTATGCGTTCGGCATTGATCAACGACGTAATGGAGTTCAATGAGTTCAACGAGTTCAATGACGATGCAGCAGCGTGATGCGCATGCGCATGTGGATGATGTGAGTGCGGTAGAGCCGCATGCGGATGTGGATGTGCGTGTTGATGTGGTGGCAGTGATGAGCCAGCAACACCGCTGTGCAAATGTGGTGGCAACGGTTGTTGAGTTGCCTGCTGTTGATGGTGATGTGGATGGGCATGTTGATGCTGTGGGTGGCGTTGCAAATGATGATAGGAGGGATCCGTTTCCATTTGTGAAGTTGTAAGAAGGCGTGGCTGTTTTGTATATAATTTATAATATATGAGATTAGAAGCAATTACATATTTTTTCGAATCAGTATATGCCACTCACCCCCTTATTTGTACTATGAATTCCATCTGAACTGCTTATGTTTGCCTCTGCCACACTGGTGGTAGCCAAAGCTGCTGAATTGTTGTTAATCATACCAGCCGAATCGATGGTACAGTCCTGATCTTCGCGTTCACGCTGCTCACGTTCATCATCGTCCTGTTCACGCTTGACATTAATGCGCAAATCCTCACCACCCTCATCGGGCAACATCGGCTCCTGTGAACTGGTCACTACATCCTGTTCGCCCAACATATGCAACGGAGTTATACAGTGCTTGCCAATCACGCTCTTCTTGCCGTGCAAGCGCTCCAGCGCGTGATTGAGGCGATGCTTTTTAAACGATTTTAAATAACGGAATTGCATGCCACAGACATCGCACGTGAAGAGCTTGTCGGCCGGCAAGCGAGCGCGATGATTCTGTTCCTTATGCTTAGCATAAGCCGAACGATAACGATACGACTGACCGCATTGCTCGCAAATGAACGGTTTCTCTTCACCCGGACCGATGTGTGGATGCTGGAGTGCGGCATGCTGCTCCAATAGCCACACATTCGGAAAGTGTGCATTGCAGACGACGCAACGTGTCTCCTCTTCGATGGGTGGCTCACCAAATAGCGATGACGTCTCCGATGGGCTATTTAATCGTTGCGTGAGCAACTGATGTTGCGCCAACAGCGCTGAGGTGGGTGGTGGTGTTGATGAGGTAGAAGATGAGGAGCTTTTCTCCTTGCAGCTGGACGTGTCGGTGCAACCGGGTGTGCTCGAGGAGAACAACAGTTGTGTGTACGAACGTAGACTGTCGCTGACGCCACCAAGAGAGGAGCCGGAGCGACGACGTTGCAACAATTGTTCAAGTGACTCTTTGTAGAGTAGCGGTGAGCAGGCGTTGCTGAGTGCACCACTGCTAGTAGCGCTGGCCGAAGTGCCAAGTCCACTCGATGTGCCAGCGCTGCTGTTGTTCGGTGTGTGTGCAGCGCTTTCGCGGCCACTGTCGCGTGCTTCGTCGTGTGTGGTTGTGAGTTCGATGACGACGTCATCATCATCAGTTGAGACCGTGTGGGTTATGGCTGTGTTATCCGCTTTCGTTTGTGTTGAGGGGGCGGTAGCATGTGGTGACGGTGTGCCTTGACGGCTCGACATTTGCTTTAAATGTTGTTGTTGTTGCTGCTGCTGTTGACGATGAAAAAATGCCGCCGGTGAGGGATAGCGCACATTGAATGTTTGTTGTTGTTGTTGCGGTTGTTGTTGCTGCTGTTGGTGATGAATTTGCGTTTTGTACTGTGGTTGTTGCTGTTGCACCATTGCATTACGATCGGCTTGTTTTTGTTGTTGCGGTGATGTGGTTTGCTTAACTGGACTAACAGTGCTCGCCCTATTATTGGGCACTGTTACGCCAGCAAGCAAATCGGCAGTGTTGGCATGCGCATGATTCGGATGGAAATCCTTGGCGAACAAATCACCGACAGGATTGAAACGGTGGGCAAAGTCCTTAGGTGTGTTTAACAAGTTGTGACTTCTGTTGTGTGGAAAAAATAATACGATGTATTTTTTTAAATACCGTTATACAAGCAAACTTACTTCAAAGCTTCTTCGGCCAGCCAAGTCTGATGTTGCAGCATACCCAAAATTCTGGACGGATCTATATCGAACAAACTCAGACCGAATGGTGTGAATGGAAGGGCGAACGGTGCTGGACAGTGGGCGGCTGCCACAGCGGCGCTACTGCTATTGCCCATAGCGCCAAACGGCGAACTGAAGTGGCGCAAGAACTTTTCAAGAGAAAGGAAGAATAAAATAAAATTCAAAATTAGTATTAGAACATTATGATAATGCATATCTGCTGTTGAGTATATGTAAAAGAGGCCTTGACGCATGCGAACCAAAAAAATCACAAAAAAAAATATATATATATATATGTATGTATGTACATATATACATATGTATGTAAATAAAATAAATTTGTTTTGGTTTTCTAAGGGTTGACAGTGTAAATCAATTGTGTTTGGCGATTTTTTTAACGAATTTCGGTTTGCTTTTCAAAACATGTATTATAATTTTTTTAAATAAATTTTTTTTCAATAATTTGCATTTTTATACATTTGTTTTGTAAATCTACTAATAATGATTGCGAAATTTTCGAGATATATTCTTGCCACATTTACTACAAATAAAAAACTGTATTTTAATATGTAAATTTCAATAGAATTAGCTTACCGTTACTGCATAGCCGACACATTAAAACATTTATAATTGAAAAACATTTAATAGGCACACACAATTAAGTAAAACACTTAGAAATACATCCATAAATAAATTTATATGAATATTAAATGGGAAGAAGAAGCATGCCCAAAAATTTTAAAATTTATAGAATAAATTGTAATCCACAAAATGGACATCTTTGTAATATTATATACACATATAATACCTTTGTTTACGACGAATAATTTAGTAAAACAAATATTTGATACTTTTATTACTTAATAATTTTTGTATAATACAAGTATATTTTATAAAAAGTTAAAAAATTTTGTAATATGATGTGCTTGTAGTTAGATTTCCGACTATCCCAGTAGTTTTGGTTATAAATTTGAAAATTATGTGCTGTAGAGCCGTTCATTAAATTTTTATGATTTCTAGTCTTTTGATTGCATATATAACATATTATTGCTTTGAGAATACTTATACGAAAGATCACTCTTTTTCTCATTTTCTTATTGCTTTGAGAATACTTATACGAAAGATCACTCTTTTTCTCACTATATTGCCAATTTTAAATATAGAGCAGACACCCCAAAAATATGGTTACGAAGAGAGTAAGTCAAAACCCGAAATGCGTAAGAATATTTCTACAGGCATTAAGAGGCGTTGACTGAAAATTTATTAGTATAACTTGTATGCGAGATGAGTACTAAAGGAGGTTCCATAGGAAACAAAGAATCCCTCGAATGAAAATTGAGAATTTGAACGCTTACAGAGAAGAACTTTGTTACGTGAGCTTTAGTGGTCATCTTTTCTACGATTGAATATACAAAATCATAATTTTAAGTGCATAAAATTTCACATAAAGCAGTCTGAACTAATCTAATACTCAATCTAAATGACTGCTTTTGAGTTTGGTAAGTTGGATACCACATATAAGCCTCCACTATATATGTATCTGTGTTCACTCTTTGGTAGCTGAGCTCTTGCCACATTTTTTTCGATAAAACAATAACAAAGATATCGAGTTGAATTTGGTTCAAGAGAGTATGCGGTTACCCCATTAAAGCTGTATAACCACTCTCTTTGATGCTACCAAGTTTCGTTTTTTTAACATTTTGAATGGTTCAATTGACAAATTACACTTAAAAATTAGTACAAATTATTTTTTTTTTTTTTTTTTTGGATTTTGAAAACTTAAGACTTGAATAAATTTATAGTTGTTTATAGTAAACGTTAAACTTGGACGCTAGTTAAAATCCAGAGGTTACTAAATTGTTATTTAGAGCTAAAAGAAATATTTCTCTATCAAAGAGCAACACAACTGCGGAAGCGAGCGAGGCTTTACTAGCACAATAATCAAACGTAAGTTCTTCCAATATGTTTGAAAAGTTGGTAAAGTTTGTTTAACTCGTTACCATCTAAAGCTTTGCAAAACGAAGACACCTATAAGCAACCAAAGAGCTTCGATAACTGCTGTTTTAATCACTAACAAGATATTTTAATAAATAAAGATATTTTTAATGTATATTTTAATTCACTGCATAAAGGGAAAACCTTCTTAGTTCAGACAAAAAAAAAAAAACAAATATGTCCGTAGGAAATGCACAATAGAACTTCCGGAACTTAAGATATAATGAGAGAAGTAGAAGTGCTCAAAAAAGTAGAAGTAATCATGGCTCTTCAAGGTAAAGATTTTTGACAAAAGACCATTAAACTATCGAAGTTAATGTATTTTCAGTTCTTTGTAAATAAAATACATTCATAAATATATATATTTTAAATTTTGAAGAATTAGTATATGTATACAAAAAAAATACTGTTAAAAGTAGCAAAATATTTTACTGTAGAGCTAAAAATAATTTTAAAATAATTTCACTTGAAGTTGTTGGCGCAGAGTATAGAAGAACTCAAGATCCCGTTAGTCCTGCCCACCTACTAGTAAGTATATATACATCGAATTTTCGCATTTCTTATTAAAAATAAAAAAGCGCTACTTTCCCTCATTTCCTGTGCGTTGAATAAAAAGATAAGTAAATTTTTCATTTTTTTGAATTTTATTTTCACTTTTATAATTTTTATCTCTCATTTGCTTCATTATATTTGTATTTGTATTTGGTTTTTATATTTTTTGTTTTATTTACTTTTGTTCAATATGTTTGTGTGTGTGTGTGTGTTTATGCAATATATAATTCAATTATCATTTGTTTATAATATATGCTTTTCTATACACTGCAACGCTTCTAAGTCACAATCAACGCCAAATTCTCAATTAAAGTCGATAATTTCTCTTTTTTTTTGCTTTCTTTTTCAACGAATTATTGGCTCTGCTGATAATTTGCTTTCGTTTTGTTTTTGTTTCTGCTCTTATTTTTGTGTTGCTTTGGAAAAATGGTGTTTGGTGTTGACGCTACTAAGCATTTTGTTTATACATAAGTTTTTACCTTGCCACCTGCCACGCATTGCCGTTCTGCGCGCTAATCTCACTTAAAGATGCTTTAAGTGCACAATTTTTATTTAAAATTTAATTTTTAATTTTTTGCATTTGTTGTCAATTTCTTTTTGCTCAACGTAATCGTTCTGATTTTATTTTATTTTTTTTTTTAATATATTTTTACTCTTATCTCCTTTTTTGTGTATGTGTTTACTATTTAAAACTCACTACCAATTCACCGTTTAATTTCTTGTTTTGTAATCGCAATGTTCAGTATTAATAGTCTGTGATAATAATAATCGGTAATAATAATTATACTTGCTTTTTAGTTCGCTTGTGTTTCGCTTTGCCTTCAGCACATGTTTTTTTTGGTTTTTGTTTATCTTTTTTACAACTATGATATGCATTCTTTTGTTTTCTGTAATAATTTTGTTTATCTTGTTTCCATTTGCTTCTTGAATATTAGAATTTCGCATTTTAGTTGCTGCATTTGTATTTGTAAGTGTGGAGTATTTTGTTTTTTCTTCTCTTGTTTTTTTTTTTTTTTTGGTTTTTTGCTTGTTCAGTTTACATCCCTTGCTATGTTAGGGGCTCAATGGCCTAAAAATATGTTACACATTTTTACTTTATTTTTATTTCCTGAAAAAAGAAAATTGCTTGGTCTTTTCAGATTTTTGTTTTATTAATTTTTCTGGGGAATTTTTAAAAAAATTTTTGAAATTATTTTGTTTTGTTTTAACTCAGGCGGTGCGCTGTTAAATCTTATAAATTTCCAGTAATGTTTTCATAATTATTGCTTAGCTATTAAACGCACAAAAATGTGCGTTTTCCCACTTTTTGTATGTTTTTAGTTTTACATTTTTAATAATAATAATTTTCGCTTTCTAAAATTTTAACCTTCCGAAATTTTTACAAATATTTTGTATGTATATATGTAAGTTTTATATGTGATTATGATTTTTAGCACTACCAAGTAGAGATCTACACTTTGTCCGGGCTTTTGTATTTTGCATATTTACGTAAGTTATTTGGTTTTCTCACAAAAAAACATTTTTAATAAAATAATGAATCAAAAATGATAATAAAAAGAGGCAATGAAAATATTAAAATTAATAATTTATCGAAGAAATCAGTAATTGAAAAATTTTATGTTCTGAAAAATCGATCATATCATAGAACACAGAATATCACTCGAGAATAATTTAGATAGGTTTCCGCTTACAGCACTTCTGCTATATTTTGTTATTCTTAATAATTTTGTTGATTTAAATTTTCTATACAGGTGGCAACTCTTATAAAAAATAATGCTTACTGAAATCTTTCTTAAACCTATACCTAAATTTCAACATTTACTTAAAATCTTCAATTTAACAGAATAATAAATTTCAAACAGATGGCAACCTCTCGGAAATATTTTTTTTATAAACCTCTTGAAAGTGTTTGTTTAATTTCATACCTAAATACATTTTTGAAAATAGCTTCGTTAAAAATTTCTTAAAAGATTTTGTTGAAATAAAATTTCAAACACGTGTCAACACTCTTTAAAAATGTTTTCAACCATAAGCTGTTAAAAACCTTTTCAGTTTGGTAGCCACTTTGTTGTAATTAATAACTTAAACATTTAAAGCAGGTGGCAACATTTCGACTTTTTTCTTTTATTAATATCATCCGAGTATTACACTGAATAGTTCAAAAAAGATTCGAATCGCCTCAATCTTTACCATATTTACCTTTTTTGATCGATTTGCTTTAACAATGTTTACTTCCCAAAACTAATTAAAATTCTCAGAATTGTCGTGGTCACGAATCAACGTGGCATATCTCAAGAAATGTAAATTTTTAGAAATTATTCAACCATTCAACGGTTAATGAGATTTATGAAACGCTTTTTTGAAATACACTCGGCCAACGTGGCAGTTAATTTATGGTTTAAAGAATAAGTAAAATTCTGTTACATTCGAGAATATATATAGAGGGATCGGGTCTAATAACAAGTGTTTTATTGATAATATTCACGAATTACATTAGGAAATTAAATATAGATTGGAGATGCTTAAACATTTTGACTTTAGATGGAAGTTTATGATGCTTTGGTTTTCAAGGGGTGTTAAAATGATTTAAGAACTTACATCC